CGGGGGTGAGTCAGGCGGCTGCCGGCGGCTGCTCTGATTCACTCCTGACACAAGCACAGATCCAGCCCTGGTCAGGGTCACAGCCCCAGGGAGCAGGTGCCTGAGGGCTGCCGGGCTGGACAGGGGCAGAGCCGACCCCATGGCAGGGCAGCATGGGGACAGCTCGGGGGTCTGGCCATGGAGAACAAGGCTGAGGGGACACAACTGCGGCCACCGCACACCTGGGAACGCGGGGGCCCAGGACTGGGGAGGAGGGGCAGGGCAAGGTCGAGGGGAGAAAGGGGCAGGTGAAACCGGCCAGGACAAGCCCAAGATGGAAAGTAGAGCGGTGCTTCTCTGTGCAGGAGCAGCACGGGGCTGGGCAGCCTCCCCGCGGGGCAGCGAGACCCAGGAACAAAGCCCGAGCAGTGGATGATGCAGGTGCCCGGAGCAGGGCCTGGACTGTGTCCCTGGAGGTGCCCCAGGATCATGTCCCATCAGCCCAACCCGTCTGCACCCGGGGGCTGACAGGGCCTGGTCCCTGCACCCCACAGCTCCCCCCACACAGACATCTGAGTCTCTGCGGTCACTGCCCACCATGGCCACACACGCCTGGGGGTCCGGTCCTTCTCCCTTGGATTCCCAACTCCTGCTTTGGCCTCCGCCTCCCTCCCTCCCTCCCTCCTCTTGTCCCTTTCTCTGCGCCTACCAACACCCGCTCCCATCGCCTGGTCCCTTCCTGCCCTCCAAACCCCTCCCTGCCCTGCTCCAGCCCCGGCACCAAACCAGCTCCGCGTCGGGGCAGCAGGCGCCCAGCCCGGACCCCCAGGCTGGAGCCAGACACCCGGGGGTAAGGGGTCTGTGTAACAGGTGCCGAGGCATCGATCTGCGGGGCCGGGGATGCACCAGAGCCTCGGTCTCCTGGGCACAGGCCACGGGATGCCGCTTACATGGTGCACATGGGAGAGGGAAACGGCTCCCTCCGCAGCCCCTGAGTCCCTGGCCAACAACTGACCCATCGCCACTGCCCCTGGCCCTGCCCTGGGCGAGTGCAGGGACGAGCTGCCTGCAGGGACACACGGACCAGACACGAGACTATGCAATGCACTCCCGGCTCCCTGCCCCGTGCCTCCCCCGGGATGCCGCTTACATGGTGCACATGGGAGAGGGAAACGGCTCCCTCCGCAGCCCCTGAGTCCCTGGCCAACAACTGACCCATCGCCACTGCCCCTGGCCCTGCCCTGGGCGAGTGCAGGGACGAGCTGCCTGCAGGGACACACGGACCAGACACGAGACTATGCAATGCACTCCCGGCTCCCTGCCCCGTGCCTCCCCCACGCCCTCTTCAGTCACCCTCAGGCCCTGGATCCCCCACGGCCTCCTGCTCACACCTGCCTGCTCACACTCACCCCTGGTCTGGTTGTACCGATGCTTCATGGTGACCAGGTTCTGTTTAAATCTGTTCTGCCACTGCTGCAAGCTCCTGGTTTCTCTGTCCCAGAAGTGTGGGTCGACGGCCCCCTGCACCCAGTCCCCGCACGGCTCCTCTCTCTGCCTCTCGCTGTCGTAGTGGAGAATTTGCTGGTCGTCCACGTAGCTCACGGCAGTGAAGTCGGGCACGTCCGGGCTGGGGTCCGACACCCCGGTGTAGAAATGCCGGTAGGAGTGGGAGCCTGCGGGAGTCAGGTCAGCACTAGTGGGGCAGACACCCTTGCCCCCAGGGCTCACTGCCCCCTCCCGCAGGGGCCGCAGAGGAAGGACACGGGGCTGCACCAGGCTGGAGCAGAGGCGCAGAGCGAGGGAGCGGTGGGGCCAACAGGACAGGGCAGAGCCGGCTGAGTCGGGGCAGGGGCCAGGGAGGAGGGACAGGACCGACCCCGCAGGGCACAGGCCTGGCCTGGAGGGGCCACACACCCTGTCCCACAGCTGAGTCGTGCTGCCCCGCACCCTCCATCCTAGGTGCACCCCGCACCGCCCCGGCACTCGGCCCCCCCTGCTCCTGGGGAGCCCTCGTGCACCTGAGCGAGGGCGAGGCCCTTGCAGCAAGGGCCTGGGCTCAGCCCATCTGGGGCTCAGTCCTGCTGTGCGGTCAGGGTCTGGGGCTGGAGAGACCCTGCAGAGCGGACGAGAGTCCGGCTTTTCCCCGGCTTGCACCCATCTGCCTTCCCTGCCGCAGCCAGCGGGTCCTCCCTTCCCAGCCCCAGCAGCTCCCCAGGCAGCCGCAGCCCGGCCATGGGAGAGGGGAAATGCGGGGTGCCCGTCCACGGGCTGGTGGGCCCAGGGGCAGCTCCAGGGACCGGGCAGCGCTGTGCTGAGGCCCGCTCTGCGCACAGGGTTTGGACCGGGCCCTGCCAGTCAGCACCGAGGGAGCGAGACCGGGCAGCCCCAGCCAGTCCCGACCCCCGCGCTATTTCTGCAAGTCGTTTTTCCCTGGCAATGCCCCGGGCACAGGGGCACCAGGGCAGATCCGAAAGAGAAGAGCGAGCAAAGCCCAGAGCAGCCTCTGGCTCCTTCCAGCTGCTCCCACACCCAGCCCCGTCCCCCTCTGCCTCCGACCCCGCCACGGCAGTGCTCAGCCCCGGGCCCGAGCCCCCTCAGCAAACACCACCTCTTCCTTTCTACTCCTTTTGACCCAGAAAACAGGAGAGCAGCTCCCACGGGGCAGAGCCCGCAGACCCCTTGCCCACTGCTTACGGGCACTGGAGGAAGGCACCACGGTGCTGTTCAGCTGCGGTGTCTCTCGTGTCTCACGCAGCCCCACTACCAGACATGGCACCAGGATCCCCAGCCCTACGATGCAGCCTGGGGGGAAGCAGGGGTCAGAGGAGGCTCCCAATCAGCAAGGGGAGCAGAAGCAGCTCCCTCCCTGCTCCTGGACACCCGGCTTCCTCGTCCCAAATCCCAGAGCCGGGGCTGGAAGGGACCCCAGGGGCACGTCCAGCTCAACGCCCCCCATGAGGCAGCAGGATCAGGCCCCTGCACCCCAAATGCCCCCATCCCCTCAGTGCTTCTCACAGCTGCCATCACCCAAGCCCCCGGGGAGAGCAGTGGGGGTGTGCTCCCCACATCCTGCTGCTGCAGGGGTCGGAGACACCCAGGCCCCAGGCCAGGCTGAGCAGCAGCAGCAGGGAGCCAAGACCCTCCTGCCAGGACCCTGCGGGGTTGGTGCCAGCATTGGCGCAGCCCAGGCCCAGCCCCAGCCTGGGCTGCAGCAGCACCAGCGCTCCGGGGCAGAGGAAACCCCCCGACACACGCAGCAGCAAGGGGGGCACCCAGCACAGGCCTGGAAGAGCGCCAGGCAGAGCCCGGCACCGCGACGCTCGGGTCGCCCCGTACCAGCGCACATCCAAAGTGCTTTTGAACGGAGGCAGGGATGGATCTTCTGCGGGCTGGTCCTGCTGCTGCTGGGGGCTGGGGCCTCTGTGGGAGAACGACAGGAAAACCCATGGCACGAGTGCTCCCCGCACAGACCAGGCCCGAGAGCCCAGGGGTTTGGGCTCCAGCCCCCTGCTCTCACCCCCAGAGCCAGGAGAGAGCCCAGGCCCCGGGCCCCAGCCCCATCCGCCTTCCTCCCAAAGCCCCGAACTCACCAGGGGAGTTGGTGCCACTCGGGCACTGGGTGCCCACCTGCACCATCTCCATGTCCCCGTCCTGCCCGGGCGCCTCCGTCCTGCGCTGCCTGGGTCCCTACTGCAGCACAGGAGAGGTAAGGGGGGCTGCCGCCCCCTCCCCACGCCCCACAACAGGGAGATCCCAGCCTCCCTCCCGCCCCCGCCAGGCCCCGCTCTGCTCCTTTCCCGGCTCTTCCTCCACGTTGCTGCCTCCCAGAGCGCAGTGGAGCCCCTCACCGGCACTGGGCTGCGGCTGCCTCTGGGGGTAGGGGGCTCTAGATGCGGCCAGCTCCGGGGTGGGCTCCAGGGGAGGTTGCTGGTGCCCCCTGCCCTGCCCCAGCCCCCTCAACAGGGGGAGATTGTCCTCATCACCCCCTGCTCTCACCCCCCCCCCCAGAGCACCCAGGTGTCCAGGCCCCTGCCCCCCCCTACCCTG